CCGTCCTGGGGTGCCGAGGTGTCGGCAAGTCAGGTGAGATGGGCACCCCACTGCCACGGGGATGGCCCCACACTGGGGGGGTGGGGGGTTCTGGGGTGCTGCTGCCTGGGGGGGAGACACAACCACCTCACCCTCCTCTTTGCCCTCCCGCAGCCCTGACCGTGAAGTTTCTAACCAAGAGGTTCATCAGCGAATATGATCCCAACTTGGGTAAGATGCTTTCCCCACGGGTGTTTTCCCCCTCCCCCGTCGTTGTCTTCCATCAGCTCCCACGGAGCATCCTTCCCAACTCCTGCATTTCCCACGAATATTTAAGGGGAACAAGAAACAACAAACAAACCATCACTCCAAATTGCATGAAAAAAAACAACGGAAGGGCTGGATTTGACCCAAACCCGCCTGTAAAAACAGAGGTGAAAGCAGCGCTCTCCCCGCGGGCACGTCCCGTGGGGGAACCTCGGCTCCTCATCGCCCCCAAGCACCTGAAAGCTGAATTATTTGGGGTCCTTGGGGAGCACCTTGTGCCTCTTGCTTGCTCCTGGGGGTGTGGGGCAGGAGAAGGGCTGGGGGAGCAAGCGGGGGCCGCAGGGCGGGCAGCCCCGGGGGGCTGTGCTGTGCAGCCAGCTGCTCTGGGCAGTATTTTTTTTCCAGACATTTGAGTAATTAATAACTATTTTCCTAGGCTTGACTCCAGGGCACGGGGAAGAACCATAAATGATTTATCAGGGACATTAGGGAGATATGGAGCTTGTCCAGAAACCAACTCCGGCCACTAATAACTCAGCGACTTAGGAAAGAAGGATAAATCCTTTCCTGCTCCGATCTTTTTTGGGAATGTGGTTTCATCTTCCCACATCAAAACCTTTCTGTAATACATCAGTTAGGACCCAGCTGGGAGAAGGCATCTTTCTCATGGGGGAACTCTCCCTGCCTACCCTCCTTCCAAAAGAAAGGGGTGCTCCTTTTCCCTGATATATTGGGAAATAGCCCCGGTGTCAAGCCCCCAGCTCACTTTATCTTGCCAAGTCGTGGCTTTTAGATAAGGGCTGAGCTTTGGGTGCAGTGATGGCCACTCATGGTTCCCTCCCTCCTTCTCCCATGGGAGCCCACGCTTGCAGATGCAGGGAGAAATGACTGCTCCCAGCTGGGCTTGCCTAGTGGCATCACAGCCCCCCCCCCCCGAAATGGTGTCTCAGGAAGGAGTGAGGTGGGAGGTGTCAGTGGAGGATGTTCCTCACCAGGGGATGAGCTTTTTCTGCAGTGCTCCACGTTTTGGAGATGATGGGACACCCTAACCCACCCTCACAACCACCCTTCTCCTTGCAGAGGACACCTACACCTCAGAGGAGCTGGTGGACCAGCAGCCCGTGCTGCTGAAGGTGATGGACACTGCTGACCAGGTGAGCCCCCAGGCCACTGCCGGTGCCAGCCATCCAGCATGGCACAGCTGGACCCACAGCTCAGCTGCTCCTCTTGCCCCTAGGATGGCCCCGGGAACTGTGAGCGATACCTGCGCTGGGCCAGCGCCTTCCTCGTGGTCTACAGCATCGAGGACAGGAAGAGCTTCGAGGGCTGCCAGCGCTACCTGGAAGTGCTGGCCCTGCACGCCCGGGGCTGCCAGCACCGCTGCCCTCTGCTCCTGCTGGGCAACAAGCTGGACATGGAGCAGTACAGGTACTGGATATGGGGCCAGGCTGTCCTTTCCTGGTGGGAGAGAGCTCACTGATCACCCCTCTTCCCTCTGGCTGGGATGCAAAAACCAAATCCAGTTTTTCTGGGGCGGTATTTCCACCCCCATTGGTACTTGCCACGTCCTCCTCCGAGGTTCCTGCTCTCCTGCCTGGGGGATGATGTGTTTATTTTCAGCGGGATGTTTTGGTAAAGCAGCGTCACTGTCCCCAGGCAGGGCTTGAGCCTGTTCCAGCTCCTCACTCCCTTCCGGATGTGCCCTTTTCCTGGAGTCCTTTCTCACCCTGTCCCCAGTGAGTCCCATGCTGCCAGGACTGGATGTCCCCGGTGTGTTTTTCTGGCCTTTCTGGGGCTGTGCTGAGTGTTTGCCCCACAGGCACCTTGAGTCACGTGTGGTGCTGAACCCCCTAGTGCCCCCAGCACAGAGGCTCTTCATGGCCAGGACCTGCCCCATCTCCTTCCCACTTCCCAGTGCTTCACCATGACATGCAGTCCTTGCACCCTGAGCACACATCCCTGGCACGAGAGGTTGCATGATTCTTCAGGGATCTGCACAGCCCCTTGCTCTGTTTCTTTGGGAAAGGCAACATTCTTTTGGATTAAAATCCCCTGCTGTGCCAGGAGGGAGACGAGTGGGTGCTGCCCCGGTGCTCAC